AAACATGAGGTCTGCAGAGGTCTGCTCTATAGAACATGAGTTCAGCAGAGGTCTGCTCTATAGAACATGAATGCTGCAGAGGTCTGTTCTCTAGGAGAACATGAGGTCTGCAGAGGTCTGTTATCTGGGAGAGCATGAGGTCTGCAGGGGTCTGCTCTCTAGAACATGAGTTCAGCAGGGGTCTGCTCTCTAGAACATGAGTTCAGCAGAGGTCTGCGCTCTAGGAGAACATGAGGTCTGCAGAGGTCTGTTATCTGGTAGAACATGAGGTCAGCAGACGTCTGTTATCTGGGAGAACATGAGGTCAGCAGAGGTCTGTTCTCTAGGAGAACATGAGGTCTGCAGAGGTCTGTTATCTGGGAGAACATGAGGTCAGCAGAGGTCTGTTATCTGGGAGAACATGAGGACAGCAGAGGTCTGTTATCTGGTAGAACATGAGGTCAGCAGAGGTCTGCTCTCTGGGAGAACATGAGGTTTGCAGAGGCCTGCTCTCTAGAACATGAGGTGAGCAGAGGTCTGCATTTTAGGAAAACATGAGGTCTGCAGAGGTCTGTTATCTGGGAGAACATGAGGTCAGCAGACGTCTGTTATCTGGGAGAACATGAGGTCAGCAGACGTCTGTTATCTGGGAGAACATGAGGTCAGCAGATGTCTGTTATCTGGGAGAACATGAGGTCAGCAGAGGTCTGCTCTCTGGAAGAACATGAGGTCTGCAGAGGTCTGCTCTCTAGAACACGAGGTCAGCAGAGGTCTGCACTCTAGGAGAACATGAGGTCTGCAGCGGTCTGTTATCTGGGAGAACATGAGGTCAGCAGAGGTCTGCTCTCTGGGAGAACATGAGGTCTGCAGAGGTCTGCTCTCTAGAACATGAGGGGAGCAGAGGTCTGCACTCTAGGAGAACATGAGGTCTGCAGAGGTCTGTTATCTGGGAGAACATGAGGTCAGCAGATGTCTGTTATCTGGGAGAACATGAGGTCTGCAGAGGTCTGCTCTCTAGAAAATGAGGTCTGCAGAGGTCTGCTCTCTGGGAGAACATGAGGTCTGCAGAGCTCTGCTCTCTGGGAGAACATGAGGTCTGCTCTCTCAGAAAACATGAGGTTTGCAGAGGTCTGCTCTGTTGGAGAACATGAGGTTTGCAGAGGTCTGCTCTCTGGGAGAACATGAGGTCTGCAGAGGTCTGCTCTCTGGGAGAACATGAGGTCAGCAGAGGTCTGCACTCTAGGGGAACATGAGGTCTGCAGCGGTCTGTTATCTGGGAGAACATGAGGTCAGCAGAGGTCTGCTCTCTGGGAGAACATGAGGTCTGCAGAGGTCTGCTCTCTAGAACATGAGGGGAGCAGAGGTCTGCACTCTAGGAGAACATGAGGTCTGCAGAGGTCTGTTATCTGGAAGAACATGAGGTCAGCAGATGTCTGTTATCTGGGAGAACATGAGGTCTGCAGAGGTCTGCTCTCTAGAAAATGAGGTCAGCAGAGGTCTCTTATCTGGGAGAACATGAGGTCTGCAGAGGTCTGCTCTCTGGGAGAACATGAGGTCTGCAGAGCTCTGCTCTCTGGGAGAACATGAGGTCTGCTCTCTCAGAAAACATGAGGTTTGCAGAGGTCTGCTCTGTTGGAGAACATGAGGTTTGCAGAGGTCTGCTCTCTGGGAGAACATGAGGTCAGCAGAGGTCTGCACTCTAGGGGAACATGAGGTCTGCAGAGGTCTGTTCTCTGGGAGAATATGAGGTCAGCAGAGGTCTGCTCTGTTGGAGAACATGAGGTCTGCAGAGGTCTGCTCTCTTGGCGTAGTGCTGATCTACCACCTGAGCTCCCTTTGTCAGAGGAAATGCAGCTTCCTGTTTCCTCTGCCAGCATCACTGGATCACTGGAACCCGGCCATCATCATGGCGGCTGCTGACACACTTCCACTTTGCTTTAAGGGTCCTTATTGGTTAGGAAATGAATGAGCAGAAGTGCATCCTGTGCAGTGGACCTTAATGTGCGTCCGACACAGCTCAGTCATTTATATTTCAGAAGAAAGATTTTAAATTTTACTCTGGATTTAACAGGAAGCAATGAAGAGAAGCCAGGATAGGAGAGATCATATCTCTCCTATCCTGGCTGAGGGCTGGTGGGTTGTCAGGGCAACCAATGTTTGAAGCATTGTTTACATATTTGAAGTAACCAGAAACAGTAGAGAATAGCACATGGAATGGTAACAGGGTAGAAGGTGCATTGGCAACACCTTTTGGTGGCTACATTAACACGTAGGGAGTCACGCTCACTGTCCATCACCATGGAGACCGCTGCCCAACTCTGACTCTGTGTCACAGAGAAGTAGAGGAAACATGGAGCTCGCCTGTTAACCTGCTGATCAAAAACCACAAAACACCTCAGTTTATTTCTATAGCTCTAATTTAACATCATGTCATCTCAGGTCACTTTCCAGTTCACCAGACCATCCAGTCAGATTGATTCAACGTTTTCTATCTAAGGAAAACCTGCTGATTGCATCGACTCATTGACTCTTCAGCAATCCCTCACACTAAGCATGCTTGTAGCGAGAGTGGAGAGGAAAAACTCCCTTTGAACAGGAAGAAACCTCAAGCAGAACCGGGCTCAGTGTGAGCGGCCATCTGCTGAGGCCCACTGGGGTTCAAGGAGACAGAAGCAGACATAGAAAAAGAAGCATAGATACAAAAGGCAGCTGTCAACCAGCTCCACAGGCGGCCCCGTCCAGGAAACACACAGCCAGGCAGACGACCTCAGAGCCAGCTCCATGTCAGAGGATGAAGAGAGCACATCCAGTTAGTCACAGTCAGAGAAACAGGACTACACTGGAAAACAGGCCAAGCTCCAACATCTAGAAACAAAGGTGTTGATGGCAGCAGCACAGCTGATATTTCTCTCCAGGATGGAGTCACAGCCAAACAGGAACAGACCAGATGAAGCTACTATGAGAAAAAGCAGAGAGAGCAGAACATTAGAGATTGAACTAACAGATTCTGCAGAGTGGGAGAATAGAGATAGAATGATGAAAAGGGGCCCCTATGTCCTCCAGCAGTCTAAGCCTATAGCAGCAGAACTATAGAGATAGCTCAGGATAACCTGAGCCACTCTAACTAGAAGCCTTATCAAAAAGGAAAGTTTTAAGCCTAGCCTTAAAAGTAGACAGGGTGTCTGCCTCACGGACTAAAACTGGTAGTTGGTTCCACAGGAGAGGAGCCTGATAACTAAAAGGTCTGCCTCCCATTCTACTTTTAGAAATTCTAGGAACCACTAGTAAACCTGCAGATTGAGAGCGAAGTGCTCTGTTAGGAACATAAGGAACAATCAGATCTCTGATATCAGATGGAGCTTGGCCATTTAAGGCTTTATATGTGAGGAGGAGGATTTTAAATTCTATTCTGGATTTAACAGGAAGCCAATGAAGAGAAGCCAGGATAGGCGAGATATGATCTCTCTATTTCATTTTCATCAGAACTCTGGCTGCAGCATTTTGGATCAGCTGAAGGCTTTTAACTACAGTTTGTGCACTACCTGATAGTAAAGAATTACAAGTGCAGGAGCAGACAGGAGACAGAGTGTTGCTTCACAGAACATCGGTTTCCATACTTTAATTAGACCTGGACATCTTATATATAACAGAAGTGTGTGTGTATCAGTCTAGCCCTCAGAGTTAGGACCATTTTTCCAGTTTCACCATCAACTGAGGACCAGTTGTTGCAAAGTGAGGACATTTTGCTGGTCCTTACAAGCTATTTTGCTAATGGATATGTTTAGGGCTAAGGTGTCATTGGGTTAGGGTTAGGTATGCATTGGTAATGCTTAGGGTTAAGGCATAGAAAGGGCTGAAAATGACTGAAAATCAATGGAAGTCAATGGGAGTCAGCTCATGGTCCTCACTACATATAGCAGAACGAGTATCTGTGTGTGTGTGGCGGTGGGGGGTCAGCATGCTCATTATTAATGATAATAATCCCATTTACAACATCCTTGTTGTCCGAATTAGCATTGCAGTCCATTGTGTCCTATGGTGAAGCTAAGTGGGCGTCCTGACGTCCCGCGGCGTCTTTTGAACACAGTAGTCAACTTTTCCCACAGAAACACGACCAAAAGCCTCATTAGTTTACATATAAGCATAACCCCTCCCAGGAAAACAGCTAAACCTGCAAACCTGAATCTCCTTCCAGGAGAAAAACCTTGGCCTCCCCACAGATTGGGTTCTGACACCCTGGTCCTCCTGCGCCGTAAGGTGAGATATTCTCACCCCGCTAGCAATGGACTCCCTTCATTTACTGAGCTGTTTGCAGAAGGCAGCAGGGGAACTATGGAAGATGTATAGAGTAATTTATATTTATGCTGCTGCTCTTCATCAAAGCATCTACCAACACCATCAGTCATGTAATTGGTTAAGCATTCAAAGTCCTTAGTGATCATTATATTGAATATGTTTGAAATAACAAACTAGCAAGTTTTTTATGTTTCTGGGATTTGCTCTTTATGTTTTGGAACAAAGACTTTATCAGTTAGAAGCTGCAATCTAAAGAAGCTCCGCCCATCATAACTACACTGACTGACAGCTTCCATCAACACACCATCTTCAGTTTCTCAGGACTTCAAGCATTTTCCTTTCATGGTTTCCATTTTCTCAGGACCAAATCCTGGAATAGACGAACCGCTGCTTCATTCTACTGCAAAGGATGATGTTTGTTAAACTGCTTGAGAAACAATTTGACATTTCCCTCCATGAAAGACATTTCATCCCAGCGCTGCATGCCCCGTGACATCATCAATGATCCCTCACTGTCATGATGGGATTCAGATTTCTAACCCACATGCAGAACACAACTGAGGCAGATGAAAAGTCTGACTGTTTGTTGAAATAAACACAAGGTTATATGAATGTTGCAGAGAAACAGATCTGGGACTGGTCACACAGAGTTCTCTGTAGAGAGGGACAGATAGGTTAGCCAGTATGCGGTAGATCTTTGCCAGAGAAAATTTGCAGGTTTGTACCTGTGACATGGTTCTGGTTTAGCAGCTGAGGGAGGGAACCAGGTGGGTCCAGAGGCTAGAACTTGGCAGAAGGCTAAGCAACGGCAGGGCTCGACTTCAGACTTATCAGTGTTCAGATCCAGAGTTTTCTTCCGATGCTCTTCTTGAGGGCGGGCAGGCAGGTTCAGACGGTTAGTTTCTTCAGATGAGCTCCTGAGAGCCGGCAGGCAGATTTCAGCAGAGGAAACTCTTCCAGAGTTCCAGGGTTCAGTCAGGTTTCTTCCTAAGAGGCAGACAAGACAAACAACTGATTAGGTTCAAGTTCAGGTTTCAGGGGAGTCAGAGAATCAGACAGGCTGGTTGGCTCAGGCGTCGCTAACCATAACTGGATTAACACTCTGGCGCTGGAGTGTTCTGCTGCATGTTCTGCTGCATTTTTGCACCATATATATTTGTCAACGTGTTTTTTTCTCCAAGCTGTTTACATTTGATCACTGCTGCATTTAAGGATAGAAATGTTCATCAACTGCTCAGCTGCTGCTCATTTAGTGTCTGAAACCCGTAAAAACTAAAAGTTTGACGTTAAAAGTTGTTTACGCATCGGTACAAACGACAGAAAGTTGTCGGGTCAATGATGTGATTGGTTGTGGCTCACTAGAGGCTCGTTAAATGCTGGATTATTCCTGCTTTAAATTCCCTGGAAAATAAAAAACAAAGCTACTGTTATGGTTCGTCCAGTTTGTCGTGACTCTGAGTTTTCTGTTTTCTGTTGTTCTGTCTTGTTCTGTCTTGTTCTTTGATTTATTTTCCATCATATTCAAGCATTCTTTAGTTTCTCTCTGCTGCCCCCTGGTGCTTGTTTTCTTTCCCCTTGGATTCCTTCATGCCAGTTCCACCCACACCTGCTCCTTATTCAGCTCATTAGTTCATCCTTTGCTCTGTTCTCCTTATATACTCCAGCTCTGCATTCACTCAGCGCTGGTTCTTTGTCGTTGCTGTACTTCTTTTCAGCTCGTCTCTCGCTGGCTCTTCAGGCTCGTCTTCCTCTGATGTCTCCATGGTTTTTGGTTTGTTTAACCCTTTAAATTGGATTTCTGGATTGCTGCCTCTGTTTCCTGGGTTCTTCAACTAAATCTGTCAGAACTCATCTCAGCTTTACTCATCTCTGCTTCTGGGTCCTTGACCAACCTCACCACCCATTGTTGACAGCTATTAGTTGTATCCAGCACATAGTTAGCTTATATTCCTTTAACCAGTTAGTGATCAATCGTTACTAAGGTAACAAGTCTTTATCCTTATGGTTTCAAAAGGACGCGTGGCGCTAAGGTCCTTGAATCAGCAAACTGCTGCTCAGACGGGACCTGATGCACCAAGATAGGACCTGCGGACCAAACCATTCTTTCATTTTGATGGGGTGGGTTAGTCCATTTATTCATGCTTTGTTTTGCTGCTTACTGCTGAAAGATAACTTATTTATCAAAAATAATTTTTTAAACAAAGATAGCAGAACATATCTTTATGGGGGCCCCTCTTTCAAGGGCCCTTGGAACCTTCCTAAACATATGGCTCCCTGCAGGAAGCCCACTCATCCTGAAAGGAACAGCTGGTTTGGTCCGGTTCTGCAGGCATTGTTTGGGCTCAGGAAAGAGGGCGGGGCTGGTCAGGATGTAGACCTCCCTGGACTCTATTGTTTTCCTGGAGTCTAAATAAAGATGGTGACGCCCTGTGGTTCAAAGGGGGGTGAAGGTAGGAACACATCCAGGGGCCAAACTGGACTCTAAGGTCCCACTGAACTGGGTTCTGGACCTCACAGACCCAGAAGGTATAGAACTAACCTGTTTCTAAATATTTACAGGCCTCCTAAGTCCACGTCAAACTTTTTAAATGATTTTAGTGACCTCCTGTCTGTGATATGCGTTGATTATGACTGTTTAATTATTGTGGGAGACTTTAATTTTCAAGTTGACAACCCTGAAGACAGAAGTGCAAAAGAACTGTGTGACAGACTGAGAAACTTTGGTTTAACTCAACATGTTAAACAACCAATGCACAAACAGGGACATATTTTAGACTTGATCATCACTAAAGGTCTGAAGATTTCTAAAGTCAGTGTTACTGATGTTGCCCTATCCGATCACTTTTCTGTTACCTTTGAGGACATCATTTCCAGGGACTCGTTTAGCCAAAGGGACATCATAAGAAAACGCACCTTTAAGGAAAATGCCACAGAAACTTTTATTCAAGCTTACTCTGCTACTTCAACCTTGGGCTGCAACTCTGTAGATGAGCTAGTAGATAACTTTCAGTCTAAAGTCTCAGACATCATTAGCTGCATTGCTCCAATTAAAGTGAAAATCTTTTCCGGAAAGAAAAAATGCTCCAGCAGTTAGAAGGGAAAAAAGGGAGTGTCGAAAAGCTGAACGCAGGTGGAGAAAGACGAAACTCCAGGTTCACTATGACACTATAAAGAGAGACTTTACAGATATAGCTTACAACTGAAAAATGCAAGAGAATCTTTCTTCTCTGAAATCATTAACAAGAACATTAATAATACTTGTGCGTTATTTGCCACAGTCAAAAAGCTAACAAATCCTCCTGTGCCTGTGGCTCCTGAACTCAACTCCACCAGGGCCTGCAATGAATTTGCTAATTTCTTTACTGAGAAAATCCTAAAGATCAGAGGATCAGTTTATACATCCATATCAAGTTCAGTACCAAAGTTGTCTCCAACTGGAATTGATCTTGACCAAATGTCCCAATTCAGCCAAATAAACTATAAAAGCTTAGAGGAAATCATTCAGCAGCTAAGTTCCTCCTCCTGCTGCCTTGATGTTCTACCCACAGCTTTCTTTAAAAAAGTTTTGCCTGTCATAGCATCTAATTTGACTCAGATAATAAACACGTCCTTTCTGTCAGGTGTTTTCCCTAAAAACAGCAAACATCTAACCACTGCTGAAAAAGAACAGTTAAGACAAACTACTACTCCAGAACTACAGGCCCATATGAAACCTCCCCTTTATCAGTAAGATTATTGAAAAAGCAGTGTTTTAACAGTTAAACACTTTCTTAGATATGACCAGCCGCTTTTACGTGTTCCAGTCAGGTTTCCGTGCTCACCACAGTACAGAGACCGCCCTTATGACGGTGTTTAATGACATCCGTATACGGTAAATACAAACTGCGGAAGAACCAGAGTGCTGGTACTATTGGACCTCAGTGCAGCATTCGATACTGTCGATCACTCCATCCTGTTAGAGCGCCTGGAAAACTGGGTCGGCCTCTCTGGTACAGCTCTCAACTGGTTTAAATCATACTTAAAGGACAGGGACGTTTTTGTGTCAGTAGGCAACTTAACATCTGAGATGACAAAAATCACATATGGGGTTCCCCAAGGGTCCATCCTGGGTCCCCTCCTATTCAATATCTACATGCTCCCTCTGGCTAAGTTAATAAAAAACAACAACATCAGCTACCATAACTATGCAGACAACACACAGCTTTACCTCACCATGTCACCAGGTGACTATGAACCAATTCAAGCACTGAGGAAATGCTTAGAAGAAATCAATGTCTGGATGTGTCATCATTTTCTTCAACTGAATAAAAACAAAACTGTAGTAATAATCTTTGGACCAATAGAGGAGAGATCTAAAGTTAGCACACAGCTTCAGTCGCTTCAGCTAGTAACCACTGATCAGGCCCCAAATCTAGGTGTAGTGCTGGATTCAGACTTGAACCTCCAAAAGCATTTAAAGACAATTACAAGGTCGGCTTTCTATCACCTGAAGAACATTTCCAGGATTAAAGGACTAATGTCTCAGCATGATCTGGAAAAACTAATCCATGTGTTTATTTTTAGTCGAATTGATTACTGCAGCGGTGTTTTCACAGGTCTGCCTAAAAAGTGGATCAGACAGCTGCAGCTGATCCAGAACGCTGCTGCCCGTGTCCTCACTAAGACTAAGAAAGTAGAGCACATCACCCCAGTTCTAAAGTCCTTCCACTGGCTCCCTGTATCTCAGAGAATAGACTTTAAAATACTTCTGTTAGTCTATAAATCTCTGAATGGCTTAGCACCTAAATACATCACAGACTTGCTATCAGTGTATCAACCCTCCAGACCACTCAGGTCTTCTGGCTCCAGCCTGTTCTGCATACCTAAAACCAGAACTAAACATGGAGAAGCAGCATTTAGTTCCTATGCTCCACTTATCTGGAACAAACTTCCAGAAAACTGTAAAAGTGCGGAAAGCCTGAGTTCCTTTAAATCAAGACTAAAAACACATTAGTTTAGGATTGCCTTCGACTGTTCTAGTTAAACAGTTCAACTAAAACATATTTTCTTTAATCCAACTGTTTTTAATATTCTTTTTTGTTTCTGCATTTTTTATTTTATTTTATTGTATTTTTTTTCCTACTTGCTTTGATTCTGTTTTATCTTCCTGTATTTTAATCATGTAAAGCACCAGGCCTTCAATCCGTAACAAACATGGCTGATCTATGTGTACCTCTATACCCTCCAGATCTAAGTGTGACTCTATATCCTGTAGATCTACAGTATGTGTACCTCTATATGCTGAAGATCTATGTGTACCTCTATATGCTCTAGATCTATGTGCACAAATATATCCTGTAGATCTGTGTGTACCTCTATATGCTGTAGATCTGTGTACCTCTATGCCTTCAGATCTGTTTACCTCTATGTGCTGTAGATCTGCGTGTACCTCTATGCTTTCAGATCTATATTTACTTCTATATGCTGTAGATCTATGTGTACCTCTATGCTTTCAGATCTATGTTTACTTCTATATGCTGTAGATCTATGTGTACCTCAATATCCTGTTGATCTATGTTTACCTCTATATCCTGTAGACCTGTCTTCCTCTATATAACGTAGAACTTTGTGTACCTCTATGCTTTCAGATTTATGTGTACCTCTATATGCTGTATATCTATGTGTTCCTCTATATGCTGTAGATCTATGTGTACCTCTATATAGTCTAGATCTATGTGTACAAATATATCCTGTAGATCTGTCTACCTCTATATGCTGTAGATCTGTGTAGCTCTATGCCTTCAGATCTGTTTATCTGTATATGCTGTAGATCTATGTCTACCTCTGTATCCTGTAGATCTATGTGTACCTCATTATGCTATAAATCTATGTCTACATCTATGCTTTCAGATGTATGTGTACCTCTGTATGCTGTAGATCTATGTGTACCTCTATGCCTTCACATTTATTTGTACCTCTATATGCGGTATATCTATGTGTTCCTCTATATGCTGTAGATCTATGTGTACCTCTATATAGTCTAGATCTATGTGTACAAACATATCCTCTAGATCTGTCTACCTCTATATGCTGTAGATCTGTGTAGCTCTATGCCTTCAGATCTGTCTAACTCTATATGCAGTAGATCTATTTGTTCCTCTATGCCTTCAGATTTATGTTTACCTCTATATGCTGTATATCTATGTCTACCTCTATATGCTGTAGATCTGTGTACCAATATATGTCTACATCTATGCCTTCAGATTTATATTTATTACCTCTATATGCTGTAGATCTATGTGTACCTCTATATGCTGTAGATCTATGTGTACCTCTATGCCTTCAGATCTGTTTACTTCTATATGCTGTAGATCTGTGTACCTCTAAGCCTTCAGATCTGTTTATTTCTATATGCTGTAGATCTGTGTACCTCTATGCCTTCAGATCTGTTTACCTCTATATGCTGTAGATCTATTTCTACCTCTATGCCTTCAGATCTGTTTACCTCTATATGCTGTAGATCTATTTCTACCTCTATGCCTTCAGATCTGTTTACCTCTATATGCTGTAGATCTATTTCTACCTCTATGCCTTCAGATCTGTTTACCTCTATATGCTGTAGATCTATGTGTACCTCTGTATGCTGTAGATCTATGTGTACCTCTATATGCTGTAGATCTGTGTACCTCTGTATGCTGTAGATCTATGTGTACCTCTGTATGCTGTAGATCTATGTGTACCTCTATATGCTGTAGATCTGTGTACCTCTGTATGCTGTAGATCTGTGTATAACTGTATGCTGTAGATCTGTTTACCTCTATATGCTGTAGATCTATGTCTACCACTATGCCTTCAGATCTGTTTACCTCTATATGCTGTAGATCTGTGTGTAACTCTGTATGCTGTAGATCTGTGTATAACTGTATGCTGTAGATCTGTTTACCTCTATATGCTGTAGATCTATGTGTACCTCTGTATGCTGTAGATCTATGTCTACCTCTATATGCTGTAGATCTGTGTACCTCTGTATGCTGTAGATCTGTGTATAACTGTATGCTGTAGATCTGTTTACCTCTATATGCTGTAGATCTATGTCTACCACTATGCCTTCAGATCTGTTTACCTCTATATGCTGTAGATCTGTGTGTAACTCTGTATGCTGTAGATCTGTGTATAACTGTATGCTGTAGATCTGTTTACCTCTATATGCTGTAGATCTATGTGTACCTCTGTATGCTGTAGATCTATGTCTACCTCTATATGCTGTAGATCTATGTGTACCTCTGTATGCTGTAGATCTATGTCTACCTCTATATGCTGTAGATCTGTGTATAACATCTCTATGCTGTAGATCTGTTTACCTCTTTATGCTGTAGATCTATGTTTACCTCTATATGCTGTAGATTTATGTGTCTCTATATGCTGTAGATCTATGTGTATCTCTGTATGCTGTAGATCTATGTTTACCTCTATATGCTGTAGATCTGTTTACCTCTATATGCTGTAGATCTATGTGTATCTCTGTATGCTTCAGATCTATGTCTACCTCTATGCCTTCAGATTTATGTTTACCTCTGTATGCTGTAGATCTATGTAGATGCTAGCAGAGCAGATGCGCCTCAGTCGGTTAGCAGACTCAGATAAACCAGAACAGATCTCAGCTCCCAGTTCTTTATAGTGGGACTGAAACTGGTCCCAGTCGGTCCAGACCTGCTGGGACCCAGACCAGGTGAAGTAAACCAGACCCAGCCAGTCTGGACCTGCGGGGGTCAGTGAGGGGAACCAGAACCAGGCGTGTCGCTGCTCAGTGAACAACCTTGGGTTTTATTATTGAAATAAATACATAGAAACACGCAGAGTTCTAATAGACCAGGTCACTGCAGAACCACACTGAGGGGCCCCCGTGGCCCCCCCACACGTCCATTGGATCAGGGGCCAGGTTCCGGCCTCCTCCATCCACAGCCTGACCCAGGTGAGCGTCTTTAGGGATGGGCGCCGTCCCCCGAGCTAAGTCCCCGGGTGGGAGTTGACGGGCGGCAGCGTCCTGGGGGACGAGCGCTCCCTCAGCGCCTGGGTCAGCAGGGTGCAACCGTCCGACACGGCGCACGCCGCGTTACGCAGACGCTCTCGGTATTCGGCCATCTTGGAGCCGCCGTCGGGATGCTGGGCCACGTCCCTGAGGCCCTGGGTGAGGAGGACGCAGGCCGACACCACGCTCATGGCCCCCCCCAGCACCGCCGTCTGGACCCCCTTCCCTTCGGCAGACACGCCGGCCGCTCTGCCCAGGAACTGAGGCTCCGTGGCGAAGCCCACCAAGGCGGCGACGGCCTGCACCAGCGCGGCGCTGAAGAGGACGCAGCGGTTCCGGGTCAGCTCGCTGGGCTGGGTCTTCAGCTCCTTGATGCAGGCCAGGAAGGCGGTGCCGCTGGTGCTGATGGACTTCACCGCCAGCTTGAACTGCTCCTTGGCGAAGCGGTCCCTAGACCGCTCGCTGGCCAGCATGGAGATGTCCGTCAGCGTCTTCAGGTTGGCGGAGATGTTCTGGGAGAGCTCCAGCAGAACCTGGGGGGTGAGGTCCGCCAGGGGGGAGACCCGCAGGACGCCGCAGCTCTGCTCCACCTCGTGCCGGCACCGCGTCACCTTGTAGCGGTCCACCAGGCCCGGCAGACAGGGCTGGGAGCCGGGCGTCTCCACGGCGGCCAGGTAGGCGGCGTGGGCGGAGCGCTCGGTCAGAGACACCACCAGGTCGGCCATCTCCAGCAGGCGCTCCCCCACCTCCGAGAAGCGGCCCATGTTCAGCTGGCTCTGGAGGTCGTGGGTCAGGATGGACAGCTCCTTGGTCCTGGCGATCAGCGTGTCGCGGCATTGGTCAAAAGTGTCGGCCATGGCCACGCCCTCAGAGGAGACAACGGGCCGCGTCTCGCTGGACAGCAGCAGCAGGTCCGCCACCATCTGGACCTTCGCCTTAGAGGCGTCGCAGACGAACGCCAGCCGCTTCCTCTGCTGCAGGCTGGCCCCCGGGGGGCCGGCCGCAGCCTCGCACCTAGACCTTCCAGAGCCGCCGGTGGCCATGGCGACAAGGCGGGAGCTTCACCTCCTACCGACCTGCTGGCATTCCTCAGGTCAAAGGTCAGCCGGTTTCAGAAAGTCAGCTGGCTCTGAGGCTGGAGGGGTCCCAGCCCCTCATGGACCTCCGCTCCCAGGCAGCGGCGCTGGGTTCTGCTTGGAGAACCAAATAAGAGAAGAAGAAGAAGAGCTGCACTTCTAGATGCTGTCTTTCTATAGATCTATCAGTCCAGCTGGGTCCCAGAACCAGAACTCTGCGGGTCCTCCGGTCTGTCCATCATTCAGCCATGTCATCCTGTCCTGCTCATCCACTCACTGTGGGTCCTGCTGGTTCCGACCCGATCCACGCAGCTTCCCACGGCTGCTGTCATTGAACACCGCTTCCTCCTGGAACCGAGCCCTGGACTGGAAGCTGTCGGCGGCTCCGGACGCCTCGGCATCGTCCGTCAGTCGCTCCGCGTTCCTCCTCCGCTCCGCTGGGAGCCTCACCGTTTCCTCCGCAGGTTCTGCTTGTTTACATCCATACCAGCCGGTCCCGGTCCCGGTCCAGTCCGTGGATCGCCTCCTCTGCGGCCCCAGAACCACAGATCTACCGAGAGGAAGTTCGGCGTCTTTCCCGGAGATCCAGATGATCCCGCCGCCTCTCTATCAGGAAGCAGGGAGGGTGTGGTTCCGCTGGGCAGCTGCTTCGGACCCGCTGGGTTCGGCGAACCGAGAAAACTCCAGAACCTCTGACTGGACCGGGTGTCCTCTGGGCAGCCGGTCGGTGCTGTCCTGCCTCCTCTTTGGTTCCTTCAGCTCCGGTTCGGTTCGACACGACTTAGCAACGCGCCGCGTCTGGGCGTCACTAGCAGCATAGCTAGCCTAGCCTAGCCTAGCCTAGCCTAGCTGGACACCGGAAGTTTCAGAATAAAAGCTGGGAATCATTTACCGATTCTTTGCTGATTAAAGAACAGGCAGCGAAGAACAGACTGTAAAGATGAACAGATAATAAAGAAGTTCGAATAAAAAAGTTGTGTTCAGCTGTCTCTATTTTCCCTCTATATCATCAATCATTTTAATGATTCTCGTTTATTGCTTTTGATCATTTTCTGTGTTTTTATTGTTTTGAATGTTAAAGTCTTCTTTTTATTTGTCTGAAGATGTTTAAATGAGGAGAAGGAGAACTGACCGCCTCGATGTTATGAATCTGTTTTAGTGACACTAAACCATCCGGAAGCTGAATTTATTTACTACTGGAGCAAAGATTTATGAACTCTTCCGCGGTGCGAGAAAGATGGTGAACCAGGGAGGACGGCGAACCAAGGAGGATGGTAAACCGGGGAAGATGGCGAACCGAGGAAGATGGCGAACCGAGGAGGATGGCCAACCGGGGAGGATGGCCAACTGGGGAAGATGGCGAACTAGGGAGGATGGCGAACCGGGGAAGATGGCGAACCGGGGAAGATGGCCAACTGGGGAGGATGGGGAACCGGGGAAGATGGCCAACCGAGGAGGATGGCCAACTGGGAAAGATGGCGAACCGGGGAGGATGGCGACCAGAACGCAGCTTCATTTAATTCAGACATAACCCAAAAATTTTTTGACACTCAATCTGGATAATAAAAAACAAGACGCCCATAAACGTATTAATGTAATTAAAACATGGTGCCACCGCATCAACAAAGGTATAAAACAAGGTTGTATAATCCGTCCTCTGCTATTTATGAAATGCTTTCCATATTAATTAAAAACGCTCAATTTGGTCAATAATCGGCGGGTTCTTAGGAATCAGCTCCCCCCAACTATCCTGGTGAACCTCTATCGCTGTGCAATAGAAAGCATCCTGACCAACTGTGTAACAGTGTGGTACGGAAGCTGTTCTGTTTCAGAGGGCAAGGCACGGCAGCGGGTGGCGAAAGCCGCCCAGCGCATCACTGGAACTTCACTACCCACCATTGAGCACATCCAGAAGAAACGCTGCCTACATGGAACCCACAGCATTCTGTAGGACTCATCCCACCCAGCCCACAGACTGGTTTCTGTCCTGCCCTCCAGCAGGCAGTTCAGGTGCCTCTGGACCAGAACCAGCAGACTAAAAAACAGCTTTTTCCCCAGAGCTGTCTGTTTACTGAACTCTAACCCTCACTGATAGACTCTACTCTCCTTCCTCACACCAACCACCATTTTGCTATTCTGTTTCTTTATGAGACTGTAATATTTACCTGCACTCCTGACTGTTACTATAGTAACAACTGTTTACATGCATCTTGCACTACTCACTTTGACTGCATATTGATTTGCACTGCCGACTGTTTATTCACAGCACCAATTGTTTACATTTACATCTGCATTAACGTACTTTAACTGTAATATGCAATTAACTTCCACTGCACTTTAATTTAGATAGCTTCTGTCCAAACTTTATTTAAAACTTTAAACTTTATCTGTACAATATTCATAGTACATATTCACCAGCAAACTCTGTTATAATAACAATCATCTGTATATATGCTATTGTACATAACTGTAAAAACCTTTTTATAGTAATATCCACCTGTATATTATATTCGGTACATATCCAGCTGTAAATTGAGTTCATAACTCTTGTGATCTATATATTATATTCATTATTTATAATAGTATTCATCTCTATACTCATTCAGTAGAACCCATGTACTGTATTTATGGAACCATAATTTATCCTGCACTGCTGCTATTACACTTCTGGTTAGACCTAAACTGCATTTCGTGTCCTTGTACCTGTACCTGTACCTGTGCAATCATGACAATAAAGTTGAATCTAATCTAAACATTACTACAGCCAAACTATACTCCCTGTAGAATTACCATTACATAAATAAATAAATCAATCTTTGCACAGAATTGGCTGCAACAAGGTGTTTGATCTGTGATGCATTTACTAAATAATTATGTCTTATGAAGATTTCATTATTAAATATAACCTGCAAATAACTAAAAGTGAATTTCAAAATATTATTAAAGCTTTCCCCCCAAATATTTAATTTACAGCTACATGTTTTTCTGAGAAGCCTGTTTACATCTGCTCCTCCTGGACCTCTGATTAATGGCCAAAGTATCACAGATAGTAAACTAAAACATTGTGAAGCTTTGTGGGATGATGTGTGAACTACTGTTTGGAACTTTAGAGAAAACTCTAAAGTTCCAAACTTTCCTGAATTTTCTAAGATGTGAATTTTGGGACTCTGAGAAAAGAAAAGAAATGTGAAAGAATACTAAATATAATATGGGCAAGTTTTTCATTCACAAACCATCTTATCTGCCTCTTCTACTCTCTAAAATTCATGGACAAAGAAAAAGATGCAGAAATGTTTAAAACAATAAATACTCTGGAACTGATGAGACTAAAGTTTGGCTTTATTTGTCCTTCCTGTAAATTACTATTTGATGCTAATAATAATAATAATAAATTATGAACCCATTCATTTCAGGGTCAGCTTTTATTTTGAAATCAGTCACTTCCGGCTTGGTTTTTCCATCCTGATTGGCTGCCGTTCGCTCGTGACCGGCTGCTTGCTGACCAATCACAGCCCCCCATCTGTAAACATGGCGTCTGTGGTGAGGTTGCTGCTGGTCGCCGCTCTGCTCTGCGTTGCTTTGCTGCGTCTCTCTGCAGCAGAAGGTCCAGGAAAAGCCCCGAAGAAGAAGAAGGACATCAGAGACTACAATGACGCAGACATGGCGCGGCTGCTGGAGCAGTGGGAGGTGGGTGGATGACTTCCGCTTTCTTCCAGCTGCTGCTGGAGGCTCTTACCCAGCATCGGCCAGGACCGACCGGACCGGACCGGTACGGAGCGGGTTCCTCCTGCCATGCAGAGGTTCTGAAGGCTCTTTATGAGGGCCCCTAGTTGTGGGTTTTCAGGCTGAAGGTTCTGGTCCTGCTCCTCCACCCATCATCAAACTGTCTTTGACTGCTGCTCTGATGTCACTTCCTGTGTTTCCTGCTCTTACATGGACTCCCTGCAGGGGCCACTACTGGAGCCGGTCTGGAGCCGGTCCAGTAGTCTCTGATGACCACCAGGGGTCTCCGAGGACCTCTGAGGAACACAGAAGGTCTCTGGGGACCTCTGAGGGCCACTAAGGACCACTGTGGGTCCCTGAGGACCACTGTGGGTCCCTGAGGACCACTGTGGGTCCCTGATGACCACCAAGCATCTCCGAGGACCTCTGAGGGTCTCCAATGACCTTTGAGGAGTCTCTGATGACCACCGAGTGTCCCTGATGACCAACAAGGGTCTCCAAGGACCTCTGAGGACCACCAAGGTTCTCAGAGAACCTCTGAGATGGTCTCTGAGGGCCACCAGGGGCCTCTGATGAACACTGAGGGCCTCTGATGACCACTGAGTGTCTCTGATGACCGAGTGTCCCTGATGACCACCAAGGGTCTCCAAGGACCTCTGAGGACCACCAAGTGTCTCTAAGGATCTCTGAGGACCACCAAGGGTCTCAGAGAACCTCAGAGAACCACCAGGGGTCTCCTAGTCACCTCTGAGGAACACTAAAGGTCTCTGAGGACCTCTGAGGACCTCTGAGGGTCCCTGAGGACCTCTGAGGGTCTCTGACGACCACCGAGGGTCTCTGATGACCTCTGAGGACCACTGAGGGTCTTAGAGGACCACAAAGGGTCTTTAAGGACCACCGAGGGTCTCTTATTACCAATGAGGGTCTCTCATGACCAATGAGGGTCTTAGCTGGTCTCTGAGGGCCACTGATGACCACCGAGGGTCTCTGATGACCACTGAGGGTCTCTGAGGACCACCAAGGGTCTCCAAGGACCTCTGAGGACCACCAAGGTTCTAAGAGAACCTCTGAGAACCACCAGGGATCTCAGAGTCACCTCTTAGGGCCTCTGAGGGTCCTTGAGAACCACTGAGGGCCTCTGATGACCACCGAGGGTCTCTGATGACCACCGAGGGTCTCTGAGGACCACCAAGGGTCTCCAAGGACCTCTGAGGACCACCAAGGTTCTGAGAACCACCAGGGATCTCAAAGTCACCTCTTAGGGCCTCTGAGGGTCCTTGAGAACCACTGAGGGTCTCCGATGACCTCCAAGAGTCTCTGAGGACCACCAACGGTCTCTGAGGACCACTGAGGGTCTCTGAGGACCACTGAGGGTCTTTGTGGACCACAGAGGTTCTTTGAGGACCACTGAGGGTCTTTTCCTTGAGGATCACAGAGGGTTTCTTTGAGGACCACAGAGGGTCTTGAGGCTCACCGAGGGTCTCTGGTGACCTTGAGGAGTCTCTGAGGACCACTGAGGGTCTGTTTAGGTCTGTTACCAATGAGGGTCTCTCATGATCAGTGAGGGTCTTAGATGGTCTCTTAGGACCACCGAGGCTCTCTTAGGACCACTGAGGGTCTCAGAGGACCACTGAGGTTCTCTGATGACCTCTTAGGACTACAGGTCTCTCAGGGTCTTGTTGAATCCAGCCTTGGTGCCTTCAAAGTGGTCTCCTTGTCTCAGCCTGCCTCTGGGCATGGAGGAGGGGGTGACCGCAGATTTCTGTAGATGAACCCTTCTTCTCTGTCCAACAGGAGGACGACGACATAGAAGAAGGAGACCTTCCTGAGCACAAACGTTCTCCTCCACCCATCGATTTCTCCAAGGTGGACCCGTCCAAACCAGAGGACCTGCTGAAGATGTCCAAGAAGGGCAGAACCCTGATGGTGTTTGCCACGGTGTCAGGAGATCCCACAGAGAAGGAGACCGAGGAGATCACTGGCCTCTGGCAGGGAAGCCTCTTCAATGCCAACTACGACATCCAGAGGTAGACCGGGTCAGATTCTGGTTTTGCTCCACAGGACCACAGCTCTGTAGAACCCGATTAATGTGATGATGAGCAAAACTTGATTGGTTGGGATGTGGGGAGGCTGGATGGATCACAACATCTGTGATCTGATATGGATCTAGCTTAACTAGGGGGCGTTACTGGGAAACCAGGGCGCGCTACTGGGAAACCAGGGCGCGCTACTGGGAAACCAGGGCGCGCTACTGGGAAACCAGGGCGCGCTACTGGGAAACCAGGGCACGCTACTGGTAAAATGGGGCGCGCTACTGGGAAACCGGGGCGTGTTACTGGGAAACCGGAGCGTGTTATTGGGAAACTAGTGCGTATTACTGGGAAACCAGGGCGTGTTACTTGTAAACTGGAGCCTGTTACTTGGAAACCAGGGCGCGTTACTGGGAAACTAGTGCGTATTACTGGGGAACCAGGACGCGTTACTGGGAAACTAGTGCGCATTACTGGGAAACCGGGGCGCGTTACTGGGAAACCAGGGCGCGTTACTGGAAAACCAGGGCGCGTTACTGGGAAACCAGTGCGCATTACTGGGAAACCGGGGCGCGTTACTGGGAAACCGGGGCGCGTTACTGGGAAACTGGGGCGAGTTACTGGGAAACCAGGGCGCGTTACTGGAAAACCAGGGCGCGTTACTGGGAAAACGGGGCGCGTTACTGGGAAACCAGGGCGCGTTACTGGGAAACTAGTGCGTATTACTGGGAAACCAGGGCGCGTTACTGGAAAACCAGGGCGCGTTACTGGGAAACTAGTGCGTATTACTGGGAAACCAGGGCGCGTTACTGGGAAACTAGTGCGCATTACTGGGAAACCAGGGCGCGTTACTGGAAAACCAGGGCGCGTTACTGGGAAACTATTGCGCGTTACTGGGAAACTAGTGCGCATTACTGGGAAACTAGTGCGCGTTACTGGGAAACTAGTGCGCATTACTGGGAAACCAGGGCGCATTACTGGAAAACCAGGGTGCGTTACTGGGAAACTAGTGCGTATTACTGGAAAACCGGGGTGCATTACTGGGACAGTAATGCGCCCCGGTTGCTGGTTCACTGACAGCTGGTTGCTGGTTCACTGACAGCTCTATCCTAGATGCTACAATAGCTGGGTATAGAATGCTGCCGTGCAGATCATCATTGCTGTTGGACAGAAAACTTTGATTTAGAGAATTGAAAAAACTCATTTATTAATTAATGTTCTTCTTTATAAAAAAGTGTCTCAGAGAAGCTGTGAAAATAGCAGATCTAGTTAAACATATCCTCTTGGTTAATATAGCAGACAGACCAGCTAACAAAATGTCCAATAAAGGAATAGTTTTATCATCCAAGGTTTCCATCCCAAAGCAAACACTTCCTGATCTGCTATGAATTTTGCATTAAACACAGATCTATAAAATCTGCATTAGTCCAAGAAAGCAAAGAACAGAAACATTCTTCTTTCTACTTTGGTGGTTTTAGCTTTATTTCTGAGAATTAACCCCTCAGTTCCCGCTGCTCAGGGGTCACAGTAGATTTAAATTCACAGGGTTTGATAAAAAAATACAGAGAGAACCTCCATAATTGTCTTGTATTGCCATGGCAACCCAGACCTAAACTGAATGAATAGCTACTTAAACGTTGAAATATTTAAAGGAAATTGAGAAAATGTTTTAATGACAATACAAGGAAACATTGAGTGAGAAATATTCAAAGATTGATGAACCTTTTCAACTGGATCTTTATCCAAAAAACAAACGGAAAGCAATGAAATATTTGGATATAATTTAGGGATTCCTTTTGGTAGAAGTTAAAGAATTTTTAGCATCAGATCTTGTGAGCTGGAAGAAATCAAATCTTGATAGTTAGACAAAGGGATTTTTTATGCTTGGCAGAGAATGATCAGCCACATATACGGTAGTTTATTAGGTAGTGAGAGCAGGAAGAGCCGTACTGCTGAGAGTGAACCATCAGAGTGGAGCGTGAAGCGCAGACTCTGAGCTAAGCTGTGCAAAGATACATTTCTGCACAAGCACAGCTGGAAGAGCAGAGTAAGTCAGAGTTCGGCGTGCAGTACCGGATTATTCCGGATTATTTTCTCCCCTGCTGCTGCTGCCATGATCCATCTGAGGTTATGCAGAATGAGTACCGCTGCATGCCAGGTGGGCGGCGTGACCAAACAGGATGCAGCAGCACGGCAGATACTGCTTAGCAGATTACAGCACCATGATGCATTTAAACATCTGCAGACCACCAGCTAACATTTATTGACGTAGTCATCAAAGATCCACATTTAGCTCAAAACTTCGTGGAAAAAAAGGAGCATCAGCGAAATAATTTCATCATCGTTGAAGAAAACACCTCTGCTCTTCAGGTCCGTTGGACTGGTTCAAATATCTGTCTGTGTTTCCAGGTTCGTGGTGGGTTCTAACCGGGTCATCTTCATGCTGCGAGACGGCAGTCTGGCCTGGGAGGTCAAGGACTTCCTGGTGGCCCAGGAGCGGTGTGCAGACGTTACCGTGGAGGGACAAGTGTTCCCGGGAACGGCTGCCAAAAAGGACCGGACCCAGGATTCACAGCAGAACCGAGCCGGTACCAAGAAGAAGGGCAGGAAGAAGGAGAGCAGAAGTCCAGACGTGGAGGGGAACAGTGCCAGCAGCAGCCTGAAGGTGGAGCTGTAGCAGGGAAACATGGCGGAGCTGCTTCAGTCTTCCACTCACTGAGCATCACTGACACTCAATATTGGGATGATTCCTCTGGAGCCTGCTGGTTCTGATGGACTCGGTTCTGCTGCTCATTCACTATTAAATCAGCACATTTCTGATTGTTTTTTCACTGAAAATGTAAATAATAAAAACCTGTTTCTAAATGTTGTCCTTCTGGTACCGGTTCTGGTTCCACCCACATCCAGAACTGAGGCTGACCCAGTCAGTGATTTAAACATAGATCCAGACTCTGTTTACAGAACCGCTCCGTGTTCTGATGGTCCACTTCTGCTACCGACCCACCAGGAGTTTATTTCTATGCTCCATCCTGTCCGTTCATAGATCCAGATCAACCAGATCTTTCAGTCAGATTTCACTTCTTTCCTAAACTACCATTAGCCAATAGCATCTGTTAGCATGTAGCAGAGCGGATGAAGACAAGAAGTGGACATTGTTGTCCAGCAGGGACCCTTCAGTCCTTCCTGTCCACTCTTTCATGTCTCCGTCCAATCAGACCCTTTTTAACATGAAAGCCACAAAAATAAAGAACTAAAGCAGACAGATTGTGCAACCTGAAGAGGGACTGAGTCTCTAGCATCTAGATCTTGGTCCACAGTGCCTCCACTCTCATCAACCAATCTATCAGCAGCGTTTCTATCTGGACGTCATGTTTATGTCTATATGAGCTAAAGAAGCTTTTTGTTAATTTTTCTGAATCAGGGACAGCAGCTAAAGGTGAGGCAGTTCAGACACACTGAGGCCTCTCTGCACAGACTCTTTAATTACAGGACTTAAACTTGGTCATTTTAAATCTCTTAAAGAGCAAAAAGATCATTTTGTCTTTGAAAACATTTCTCCTCTATGGAGTTAGTCTCAATATTCACCGACTCACATATGAGATCCACCTGTTTTATATTCCTTTATTATTAGAGATGGAGTTTCATGATCAAATATTCATTCATACTAAATGGTATAAAACAGTCAGAAGTATTAATAGTTCTGTTCATTTAGATGGAAATGGATCAAGTGATCAAATAAATACTCTGCCAGCTTTTATCCCAGACGGATTAACAGTTGGTTGTTTGGAGAACCAAAGTTTGAAAAGCTAAAAATATCATTAATAAACACAAAAGATGAAAGTATGGAACAGCATGTTTTACTCTGAAAATATTCAGTTAAGAGAAAATGCACTAAACAAGAATTCCTCTTTTATTTGTCCAGATTCTGTCCTGAACATGGTCTCTATGCTGCCCTCCTGTGGTGTCAGGTTGTAATTACACATTCAAAATTTTAGAACAAGGAAATCTATTGATGGTAAAAAAGGAAATCTGAGTGACTTGTGTTGAAGAAGGTGGATGCTGTCAGATTGTAGATCTATAGATGCTGATAATCAGAGTTTTTTAATTTAATTAATTAGAGGCCTAATCAACACAAGTTCATCAAGGTTACGTTGTCATTGCAACGTCAAGCAGGCTAGTGGTTGCCAAGTACAGAGGTATCCCGCTGGCGGCAGACTAGTCTATATGAAAGAAACACATTTCAGATTTTTTTGGAAAACCACCACCAGTGAAGAAGAACACTGGTACCGTAACCATGACAACGAGAGCAGCCTGTCTCCAATTTAGAGTGTAACTATGGCAACCTGCCTGTTGCTCAGAGTTAGAGCATGGAGCCGCAGCTCACAAACATCCATTAATGTTGTTTAAGGTAAGCATAGTATTTTAGAGTTATTTACATCCTGGGTTCTTCCTGTAATGCAGAACTGTTCAGAACTGTCTGTTACAGACCCTGGGTGGTGCACTGAACGGTATATGTACACTTCAGTGTATTTTAAATAGGCATGTATATATATATATATATATATATATATATATATATATATATATATATATATATATATATATATATATATATGAAAAAACAACAATATACATTTCACAGCCCCCCCCCTGTTTAAAATGACATCCAGCAGCTTTGAGCTGTTGTTCATCCACGGAGTTTAAGCCCCCTCCAAAGATTCTCTATTGGGTTTATGTCTGGAGACTGGCTAGGCCTAGAACCTAGATCTGCTCTTCCAGAGCCGCTCCTCCTATCTTGGCTGTGTGCTTCGGCTCATTGTGACGCTGGAAGACCCAGCCTCCACCCATCTTCAATGCTCTTACTGAGGGGAGGAGGTTGTTCCCCAGAATCTGGCAATGCATGACCTCGGTCATTCTCTCCTTAGAAAAGCACCCCCACAGCATGATGCTACCACCCCCATGCTTCACAGTAGAGATGGTGTTCTTGTTTTTCCTCCAAACACAGTTAGAGGAATTATGACCAAAAACTTATATTTTGGTCTCATCTGATCACATGACTTTCTCCCCTGACTCCTCTGGATCATCCAGATCCTGGCAGGTGCTTTAAGCAGAGGATACCTTCCATGCATGATTTCAAACCGTGACGCCTTAGTGTGTAACCAACAGTAACCATGGAAACAGTGGTCTATCTAGCTATTTCCAGGCCATTGAGCAGCTCCTCCCCTTTCTTAGGATCAGTGAGGCCCCACCAGGTGAGATCCTGCATGGAGCTCCAGTCTGAGGGAGATTGACAGTCATGTTTAGCGTCTTCCATTTTCTAATTTATAATTTTTTCACCAAGCTGCTTGTTTATTTCCCTGCAGCCTTTCCAGCCTGGTGGAGGAGGACAGTTTAGTCTGTGGTGTCTCTGGACAGCTCTTTGGTCTGGGCCATGCTAGTTGGATTCTAACTGATTGTGGGGGGGACAGGTGTCTTTATGCAGCTAACCACCTCAGACAGGTGCATCTAGTTTAGGAGAATAAATGGAGGCAGACTAACAGGTCTTTGAGGGTCAGAATTCTAGCTGATAGACAGATGTTCAAATACTGATTTGCAGCTGCATCAAACAAATAAATCACTTGGAAAATAGCAGGTTGTTCAAATACTCATTTCCCTCCCCCACTGGGGCGGGCTCCTGGGACCCCTACATGTAGGAGGGTGGAGTGGGTGGATGGTCCAGTAATGATGGAACCAAGAAGAACTGAAACTAGAACTGAAAATAACTGAGAAGTATTTATTTCAAACATCTAAAATAGCAAACAGGTCTTCATGTTTGTGGAACAACATCGTAAGCAAAGTATTCCAGTCAAACCAAGTAAGAAAAGAACAAAAAAAATCATCCAAAACTTATTCACAAACTTATAGAAATACATCTCTAGATGGTGAATGTTTGATTTGTCTGCTGTTCCAGAACTAAAGTATCATCCTTTGATCTTTATATACATTTAATATCACATATATATACATATAGACACACGGCTTTGTCCTTCTTTACATCCAAAGACATCAGAGAGTCTTCAAGAACAGAAAATGGGATATAATATATAAACCCAAAAATTAAATTAAGATCCGTTTTTCTTCTTTTAAATAAAATAATAATAATTTGAGGAGAGCAGGAACGTTTTAATAACTGAACCCAACTATAACCATGTATTTTTTTGTACAGCTCGCTGCAGCAGGTATTTCACTGGATTCAAATAGTTCGTATTTATAGAGAAGACATCCAGCTAAAAGACTGAAAAATGTTTCTTTAGTAAAAAACTGTTGGGTTGGGATCGGGTCACAGATGAGATGTTTCTAACATGTTTACCTTCATATCAGTAATTATAACCTGTTCCCAGATTTAACCTTCGTTCTTTTTCTCCTTTAATAATCATCTGTGTATCGTCTGCATACAGAGCAAACCTGGATAAGCAGCTAAGATGAGATGTGAAAACAAGGGGAATGCAGCGCCCTCTAGCTGCTATCGCAGTAAACATGCGCAGGACACTGAGGACAATGATGTCTGTCAGACCCACCATGACTACTGTGACATTGAGATACATTGGAGGAGCTTCACTCAGTAATGACCACCGTCAGGTCTTTCTCCACCGCCATGAAGGACGTCTAAAGTCGGGGTGCGGCAACTTATCAGCCGGCTGATTTATTGGCCTCCATTTCCTTAATGCTGGGAGATTGGTGATTGGTTGACAATTAGAAAGCGATATTTTCCCCAGATCTGCAAAGATCTGAAAATCTTTGCTCTTAGCTTTGATTGATAGTTGACAGCAATAATGTAGTAATGTCAGATATTTTTATGGTTTCACAGGAACTGATTACTGCCTTTCAGTCATATAAGAGTGAAACCTTGCATGTCAGGCATTTTAAAGATCGGGAATCAATGATGGTCCAGAAACCTGCAATCGGTGCACCCCTAGTCTGAGGGTTGCTGGTTCAGAGGAAGTGAGTGGAGGACACACTCATCTGTCATCCATTGCAGGAACAAATCACATGAGCTAATTAGCTACTGTAGCTACCTTAGCATTGCTGACTCGGTCTGATACTAAAACAACTTGTGATGGAATACATTTGTAATTCATTGGTCTAAGGTAAAAATCTGAAACATCTCTCTGACTGTTGAACCAGACGAAGGTTTAGTTAGCCTGAATAAAGCCATGGAGGCTGAAATCTGCCTTCAGCTCCTCTGGCTAAGGAGAAGTTTAGGATGTAGTGAAACCTGCGCTCTGCTGAACCCCATCAGGACGGATGACATCTAGTCTGCCGTCTCTACAGGCGTGCTGCTAGGATGGTGCTTAGCGACGAGGCGCCGGATGTTACATCACATGAGAACTACGCAAATCCTTCCTCCTCATGGTTCTAAGACCTCATAATGCCGTCCTTTGTCCATCTGAAGCTCCTGGGAGGCTATTTAACCTGCGACAGAATCTAATGCTTTAATCTACAAACAGCCATCAGCTAATCGACGCCACAGATGATGCATGTGAGGGATTGCTGTAAAGTCATGGACTGGATGCAATCAGCTGGTTTTCCTTAGAAACTGGATGATCTGGATCTATAAAGAGGCCTGAGATGACATGATGAAAATAGGAGCTGATGAAATAAACTAAAGTGAAAATTGATGTTTTATAATGTCTGTTAAACCGCAATTTCATAGAAATGTTAAAAAGATCAGATCCTTTTTCATTAAATGTTAAAAAGGATTTTTGTATCATTAAGATTTTGTTGAAGCTAAAGAAGAAATGTATGAATAATGATGTCAGAAGCCTGCAGCTGTAACTATAACCCATAAAGGCTGCAGGAGGTTTAACTGATAAAACAATGTTAGCAGAG